TACTGATGATTCTGAAAATGATAAAAGCATAAAAAGCATATATGTATGTATTTTAGCCTCATTTTATGTTTTTGTGCAACAGCAAACAGTGTATCAGGTTATTTACTGCCCCAGATATGTTCAGTACAGTCCCTTCATTTCCAAGCAGAGCAGAGAGATCCGGTGTAGCGGAATGCTGCGAGAAAAAACGCAAGTGGACAACTGCCGTAAGACAACTGTTGCAGTCATTGTAGTCATTGACCACGTGCATTATTATAAAATATAGGGAGGGGTTTTTGGTTCTTACATATGGCTTGGAAAGACAGCTCTAGATGGACTTGTTTAACTGGCTAAAATGCATCTCTGAACATCTCCTGAAGTGTTGTGAGTGATTAGATATAAATTTGTTTTAAATGCCTCTTGGGTGCAACTATTGAATATTGAATATTATTGTTGTTGATTACTATTGTTGTTGTTATTATTATTATTATTATTATTATTATTAACTGCAATTGCTTATTTTTTTGTTTATTTTTATTGTTTGTTTAATTTTTTCTATTTTTAAATTTTAAAAATGCTCATACATTATTATTTTCATAGTAAGTTGTGTTGGGCTGCTAACCTGGGGGTTCCTGCCCAATCTGGCAACCCTGAATAGTTGCTGAGGCTGGGCCATGTGAGCAATGAGTGATGGAGGAAGAGAACAAACACAGAGAAATGGCATCTGTTTAACGCACTGTCAACTTTTCTCGATAATAAACACATCTAAAAATATGCTCGCTAGCAATCTGGAGCAGTAGGAAGCTTATTTGGACCACACCTGGAGTTTAATGGAGTCTCACAAGCTGTGCCAAATCTCCAGTGAGTCCAGGGCAGACCTGGCAACTCTGTGCTTGATAAACAAAGATTTGTTTTCTGCATGGAAGTCCTTGGGTTGTTTGAGTTATTTTCAGTTTTTGAATATTTTAATTAGCGAATTTATGAAATATTATCAAATATTTGTTGCAGCCCTGATTTTTTTATGTCAATCCAGATTTATGTTTAATTTATATTAATTTTTTTTTACACAGATTGTGTAGTCATATATTATGGTGAGGTTGAGAAAAATAGAATTTTGCATTCTCATCAGTTGACAACGTCTCATTGAAGTATAGAACTAATCTGAGTGAGAACTGATCAGCTATTTAGAGCTAAGAAAAGTTGTGACAAATAAAAGGAAAAAGAAATATTCAAGTTTCTGCACAATTTCTAGATCACTAATTAAATTCAGGCAAATTTGTGAAATTGTTAAGGCCTTTGTACAAAAAAGATTTTTATTCCTTCTATGAAAGCTTGAGTCGAAAGTTTAGTCGACTGGATTGATCTACTCATATGGGGCTTTTGTCACTGTTAGTGATCAGAATCCATGCCAACTCGAGGGCACACTGTCAAACACTAAGAAATTTAGAAATATATGTAAATATTAAGAAGATTAATATCTTTTCACTCAAATTGTTATGTCGATCATTTGTAATGAAACACTGTTAAATTAGAAAAGAATGCAAAATAGTAGCGTTTTCACCTTTGTGTGTAAAGGGATTTTCAATGATCTTTTAACCCTTTTGGCTGGTACTCCATGCTGAATGCATGTTCTCTGATCTTTTGAAAATCTTCCTGAAGTCATGTGTGGATCATCTGTATTAGGACATGCTCCACTTCATATGTGTGTTTACATGTTTTAAGTGTGTGAGTGTGTGTTTATGTTCGGCTCACTGAAGACTGACCCAGTAACCCAATTTGAAGTGTAAGATTTGATAGTGTGTTCTGTTTTTCGTGCAAGTGTGTGCGCAGTCTGTGTGGGGCTATGATGTGAAATAATAATTGACATTATTCTGAAACAGATTGTCATTCTAGAACGATTCAGCATGAGTAGATCTGAGTTCAGAGAACACATCTGGAAAGATGCCTGTGGCTGCATCCTGGGTCTGTGAATCTCTCTCTCTCTTTCTCTCTCTCTCTCTCTCTCTCTCTCTCTCTCACATTAGTGTTAAGGGGCGTGGTCTCTGGGGAGAAGCCACTCCCTGTCCTCATTTCCTTCTATTCTCTGGGGGCCAATCACACTTCTGTCGTCATGGTTGCGGGTGCATTCTCGGAGTATTCTCGGATGCAGCATGTTTGTGCTTGACAACACTAAATTAAGCCAGCCAACCAGTGACATCACTGAAAGGCAGTACTTATCTAATGTTATGTCATTGTTTTGTTTTTTTTTAATTTGCTGTCAAAAGATTTTATAGTAGTTTTTTTTTATAATAAAAAATTATTTAGGAAAAGAGTTTATGTATTCCACATGCACAATAAGAGGAGGAAAACAAGACATATATTGTATTTTGTTTCTATCATTTATGTTTATTAGGTCTTTATCAGTATATCAAAGTTACGTATAATGCAGAGTAAATAAAATATAAACCTCCACCACGCCTTCAAACCTACCCTGACAATCTCTTTTTATTTTTTTGTTTAGTTATTTTTTATTTGTTTTTTGGTCATGTGTTTCCCTGTGTGGTCATGACTAGTGGATGGCCTTGCTGCTTTGATCAGAAATTTGTAGCAGCAGATGTAGGGAAGCACACTGGTATCAGAATCGTATTGGCTTATGTTTGCTGTAAAAAATTGTTGCCATCGGACAGATATTTCAAACCAATATTTGCTTACATATTTATTGTACTTTGGTAGAGGAGAATGTTTAGGCTACAATACTAAAATGTCGGCATTTAATTCATATCACTGTGTTTGTAAGCCTCCAGAAAAAAAATGTTACATTTCTTCATAATGCTAACCGAAGTCAATTTAGCCACAAGTTCTACATTTTATAAATGTTTATCTGCATCAGCAGATATGCACAAATAAAAATATTGAATATCAACATCGGCACACAATTCCTCTATTATTGCATCCCTAAAAAGAAGCTTTAGTTAAAAAAGCTTTAGAGCTGCAGTAAATAGTAGAGTAAACTATTACTGAAAGTCAATTTTTTGATGAATTGAATAATTCAAAAGTCAGTTAATTAAAAGTTCATTAGATGTTACAGCTGCAGGAAATTATTACTTCAGTAATCAGTTAAACAGACGATAATCAATTAATCACCCATCATGTTGCTGCTACCCAACATGTCAACGTGTCTGATTTTTCCAGGTTAAAGTTTTTGTTTTAGGTTGAATTTAAGTAAATAAAAGTAATTAGTCTACAGTATTCCTGCACTGATACATGCACTTGTGTCAAGTTAAAGTGTTCAAAAAGTACTCGTGATACACATGATCTACTTAGTGTGAAAAGTGTGACATTGTCGGAAATCTTTACAGTAATGTTAACATACTCTTTTTTTATTATTATTATTATTATTATTATTTTTTTTTGTAGATAACCTTATTTATAGCCTCTTGGAATGTGTGAACTCCTATTTTTATTACTATGTATATAACTACTATGTCCCTGTACATGGACAACTGAAATGATCTTCTAATAGACTATGATAGATAGATCAGATAGGCTAAACAGTCCAATTTCTTAGACTAAAATGGATGGATGTCCTCTGATTTCATTCTGTATAAATAGATTAGAGGTGTGTTTCAAAACTTTTAAAACAAGAAATGTATCATTGTGCATGTCACAGCATTGACTATAGCTTAACAAGTTATCTGAACAGATATTTGTCAATTCATTTTCATCCAAAAGTTTGTTCAAAATTAAAAAAAATTGTTTGTGAGAGATGTACCACGATTCCTAAAGTGTTGCACTACTGCCTTAACCGTACACCATAAAGAAATTCAGTTACAGCACTTCATCCATCTAACTAGCCTGTATTTGGTTTCATTTTCACATGCATAATGATGTTGCATACAGTTGTTAAGGGAAACGTGTTGAAATGTTCACGATACATGATATGAATCATAATGTTTTGACACACATGCACTAGTATTTCACATTTAATAACTGCAATTAAAATCTGTCAGCATGACCTCACATTTCACATATCATGCTGTGGTAAATCCAGTTAAACAGGAGTAACTATGCTCTCTTTGCAATGAAGGATGCAGTTGGCTCTGTAAGTGCTGATGATATTTCTATGTTTAGAAGTGCATGTTGTGTATCACAGTAACAATAATATAATGCCCACCCCAGGACCATGTTGTCTAAATAAAATGGCATGTCAGGTAAACAGTATACGTTCTGAAAATAAAATGTTATGACATTTTAAACAGAAGAGATGTTGACGTACTGTCATGGATGTCCCTGTCTGTGTGTGGGTTGGTCACGTTTCAGGGTTTTGTTCTAGATCATTCCAAAATCTGGCAGCTGTAAGTAGCCATTTGGTGAACATGTCAAATAAAACATTTAAAGGGGCATTGCAGCCTAAAACTAGAGTTTATTATGTTATGTGTCATGCAGTGCAACTTTGCATTCCTCAGAATCATCAGTTTGACAGAATTCATAATTTTGTATCCTTCTTGTGTTTTTGTCCATCAGTGTCCTCTCACCACAGTACTCAGCATGCCTTACGCAAAAACATCATATGACCATTGGGAATCCTTCCACGGTTGTAAAGACATCTTGACTGCTAGCAAAAATACTGATGTTAGTGGCTAATAAATACGGATTTGGTATTCGGCTTCCTAGCAGTAACATTAGCTATCAGACTTCCTTCTGCATTAGCCAGCAAGTGGTAAAATAAAACACATTTCAAACAGCCCACCTTCAGGTGTCCACCCGAAAGCGCTTGTAGTTTTCCTCCCACCCTCACGATGCGATCATCAGAAGTCTTTAAACCAGAAAATCTCGCTCTAGAGGCTACTGTAGCACCATTGTAGCAGGCGAGTAGGCATGATTACAACAGATGTAGTGATGTGTAAATTTTTGATTTTGGCAAGAGTGGCCCTTTAATTAATGCTGTGCTCTCAGAATAGTTATTCAGCATAAATATCGAATGGTGATTGAAGTCTTTAAAAGCTGTAGTTGTTAAGCATCTCCGTACTTCTCTTTGGCAGGGGACATCACACAGAAAGGTTATGAGAAGAAAAGAGCAAAACTCATTCAAGCCTACCTGCCCCGTGTACCAGGTACCACACACACACACACACACACAAATATTGTGATCATCTGCCTTAGTTAGTACAGGTAGTACACATACTCTCTGAAGGGTGAAGGGTCTTAACACTTAGAATAACACAATACACAACATTGTAATCATAATAAAACTTTTATTTACAAACAAAAATGTCGTATTAATTGAAAGCGTAGAATCCGCAATTTTAGCAGAATTTCTTTTTTTCAGAAGTCAGAAACAACAGTTAAAGTTTTGCAGTTTGACTGTCGCTGGACATGTGGATTGTCTCTCTGTGTTTACAGTGGGGGCGGAGTCTAGAATTCCTGTCACACCTTCTTCGTCATCGTCTTCCTCATCTCGTTACCAAAGGCGACGTTCCACTGGCTCACGGGATGAGCGATACCGTTCAGGTGATGCATAAATGCAAACATATGCATATGCATGTTTTGCCTTGTTTCTGTCTTGTATCCAGTAGTAGATCATGGCATATTTTCAGTCATTTTCAAATCTGGAGTTTGACTGTTGTGGGTGTAAAAGTGCAGTGGAAATATTAGAATAGATGATAGTTGGTTATAGTAATTTTTAGTGAAATATGTATTCATTTTGTGGCCAAAGAAATTTCAGGCTGTAATCCACTGCTGTGTAAATAGTCACATTTGTGTATTCATTGTATAGTGAAATTTTGTATTGAATTGTCATTTTGTGCGTTGTTTTGTGAAGGATTCTGATTGAATCAAATTGTTGTGAAGTTAGAGATTTACACCCTTTAGTCTAGTAATATAACAATAAGTAAAATATGTAATGTATAGTACTGTGCAAAAGTCCTAAGACAACCAAGAAAATTGTAGAAAATGTTTATTGTCTTGGCAGGAGTTGTGTTTTTACTAGAGAAAAATACTAAATTGTAATTGTAAATAATTGTACCTATATTACGATACTTGTATTGTTTTTGGGAGAGTTTCTCTTTTTCAATCATTTTTTGTCTTTGTAGTAGGACCCGTACTACTGATCATTCGCCTCACTACTCACCACATCACACACCACTAAAGAAAGAAAAGTTTGCATTCATTTGCTAAAACATTTGCTTTTTGCATTTGTACACTTGAGTGTGTTTAAATGTCAGTACGTTTTTACTTTCACTCATTTACAATCACACCTGTTTAATGAAGGATTGATCATCCAAACTAGGTGTTGGATTGAAACTGTAAATACTGTACTTTTTTGAAGATAGATTTGGAAACGGTTAGCATAACTTACTGACAGACGTTAAATCAATGTATTGTTTAGAATATACTTGATCGCTAGATAAATAGCCCCAGACAAATAGCTTTACATATCATTTTCTCATGTACATAACACTTTTGCACAGTACTTTATATGGGTCATTCTACTGAATTGGTTCAAAACTAGAGCTGAAAACAGATTTTAGACTTTTAACTGACTCCTTTTACTTTCAGTGACCTATACTTTAATTATTTTAATTAAAATACATTTTAACACAATTATAACACTACTGAAACTTTACCAAATGTTTTAGTACTGACTGTTTTGGTAGTGAAAGTTTTAGTTAATTTATAACTAATTTATAATTCAAGAATGTTAGGCAGTGCATGATTAGGGAATACAGCTTTGAACAGCTGTATACATAAAATTGTAATATTTTTTATTAAAACATAGAAGGTATGGATGCACTGATACCATTTTTTTTTCAGACTGAGTATGAGTATACGGTTTTAAGTACTTGCTGATACCATTTCTGATACCATAATGAGTAACCTGCTTAAAAATAAATAGGTTAGTGTAAATACAGTTGTTAGTGTAAATAAGTGCAATGCACCTTAACAGTTAAATCCTTCAAATTTTTAAATTAGGTGTATTAGTTAGCTATGTTGCGCTGCAGTGGAGAAGAATGCGTTTTGTTCCATGTCAGAAAAGCGCTTCTGTACAGCTGTAAGTATTTACAGTTTGAACCCTGTGATCCTAATCTGTCTCTTTAGCAGTAGTGTTGGACAGTATGAATCTGAACTGAGATCAATCTTTACATCTTGTTGGAGTCTTTTTGGCTGGTTGGCTGGTAGTTGAATGTCCTCTAATGCCACATACACTGTGTAATTTTAGAAATCTTGTTTTTTGTTGGTTCACAATGCACATTTGAATAGACCATTGTGTACAAATAAATTTCATGATTGTCATACTGTACAAAAATGATTGGTCCAATTAGCATGCTGCATGACACACAGCCCCACAGACAGCTCTGTCTATGAACAATTTCAAAATAACACACTACGCATTCAAGTACTGGGCACAAACACTGAAAAACTGAGCAGCTTTGCAAAATTGCGCCACACTTTGCCCTGAAAGTAAAATTAAGCGGTGATGTACATGGTAGGACGACAGGGTCTCTGTTTATACTTCCCAATTCTTTTCAGTCAAACAGAATAAAATTGGCTTATATATAGGCTTTGGTACCACAATTGTCGAGGTTTTTTGCCTATGTTTTGGTAGCCTGCATGTACCCACCTGTATAGAGGTAGTGATTGTGATTGTGTTCATGTGTGTTTAAAATTGGGCCAAAATCACACAGTGTATGCCTGGTGGAATGTTTAAAGTGACCAACGACTTTGTGTCCGAATGTCAGAAACACTTGGTTGTTTGAGCTGACCCTCATTTACTGCCGGCTTAAGTCGTTTGTTCATTAGCATGGCAGTGTTTATTAGCCTTACACCACATGCTGTAAGATGGTATCGGATATTCGTGTCATGCATTTTTGAGTGCTAGTAAATGAGCACGGTAGTGGGCTGATGCTTTGATGCATCTCTACAAAAAAGTTTTACTTAATTGCAGAAAATACAGTTTTAGAGGTTACACACTGACAGACTTTAGGACTCATTTACTTCAAAACAATGGGATCTAAGTGCTCATCATCTGGCCATGAGGGCCAGGGGTGCAGTCTCACTTCCTGCCGTAAAATGTAGGGGTGTGGCTAAAGTAAGTATTTTCACAAATTCAAGTTTAAGGGTTAGAGTTTGGGATAGCCGCCTCCCAAAAGAAAGTACCCTATAAATCATGATTTTGTATATGTTTAGCTCTTTTAGTGCCCTAGGTTTAATAGATCACAATCCTTATAAAAATCTAAAGTCTAAATACTTTTTTTTTTTTCTTAAAGGTTTTTTTTAAATGCTTGTTTTAGTGTGGAACCGTAATTTAAACTAATACGGTAGAATGGTCCAAATCATCTTTCTTTCCTTCTCTCTCTCTCTCTCTCTCTCTCTCTCTCTCTCTCTCTCTCTCTCTCTCTCTCTCTCTCTCTCTCTATTTTGCATGCACACACACCCTCTTGCTTTGTCCCAGATGTGCACTCTGAAGCAGTGCAGGCAGCGCTGGAGCGTCAGTGTGAGCGGAAGATGGCCGTCCCCATGCCCTCAAAACGACGCTCCCTCGTCGTCCAAACATCTATGGAGGCATATACGCCACCAGGTCTCTATGATAGGGCTGCAGAAGCTTTTATGTCAATATTAACTGTGTGTTCTGCCTTGCCTCATCTTAATATTAAACATAGGGGTTTTTTTTATGTACTTATGTATAAGAACATCCCACTTCAACAGACCAAACTTGAAGTAGGATGTCCTTCTGTTTATACTAAACACACAGGCACACAATCACACAACAAAAAGACCTACACAAATCCGGTATAATTGCTGTGTCTGTTTTTTGTTTTGTTTTTTTTTGTTTTGTGAACTTTGTAGGAAATTCCAAAAAAATGAGGACTAGCCTGCAATGTCAGGTCCAACAAACAAAATGGTCCTGACTGTGTGAAGTGCTTTTTAAAAAAGCTATGTTTCTTTTTTTATTTAACTGGGAGAACAAAACCATTTCTTAAATTCTTGTTACATGTAAGTACTTACATACATTTACATATACCTTCACTAAGAACTTTATTAGGAACACCTGTACACCTACTCAATCATGCAATTGTCTAATCAGCCAACCATGTGGCAGAGTGCATAAAATCATGCAGATACAGGTTAGCAGCTTTAAGTATTGTTCTCTTCACATCAGTATGTAGAAAAAATGTGATCTTAGGGATTTTGAGTGTGGCATGATTGTTGGTGTCAGATGGACTCGTTTGAGTGTTTTATAACTGCTGATCTCCTGAGATTTTAACAGTCTCTGGAGTGTACTCGGAATGGTGCAATAGAGAACAAAACATCCAGTGAGCAGTGGTTCTGTAGATAGAAACGTCTTGTTGAAGAGAGAGGTCAATGAAGAATGTCCAGCCGACAGAAAAGCTATGGTAACTCCGATTACCGCTCTGTATAATTGTTGTGAGCAGAAAAGCACCTAAGAATGCACAACACGTTGAACCTTGAGGCAGATGGGCTACAACAGCAGAAGACCACATCAGGTTCCACTTTTGTCAGCCAAGAAAAGAAAGTTGAGGCTACAGGTGGCACAGGCTCACCAAAACTGGACAGTTGAAGACTGGAAAAACATAGCTTGGTTTGTTGAATCTTGATTTCTGCGGATGCACACAGATGGGTCAGAATTTGGCACCAGCAGCATGAATCCATGGACCCAACCTGCCTTGTGTCAAAAGACCAGGCTGGTGGAGGTGGTGTAGTGGTGTGGGGAATGTTTTCTTGGCATAATCTGGGCCTGTTAATACCAATCATTGTTTGCCACAACCTGTTTAAGTATTGTTGCTGACCATGTGCATCCCTTCCTGGCCACAATTAGCCCATCTTCTAATGGCTACTTCTGGCACGATAATGCACCATGTTAAAGTCATGTCAAACTGGTTTAATGAACATGACTTCAGTGAATTCAGTGTTCTTTGGTGGCCTTCCCTATCACTGGATCTGAATTCAATTGAACACTTTTGGGTTGTGATAGAACATGCTAATTGCATGATGCCATCATGCCAGCATGAACAACAATTACAATGGAATGTTTCCTACATCTTGTGGAATCCAAGCCATGAAGAATTGAGGCTGTTTTGTGAGTAAAGGGAGGCCCTACCTAGTATTAGTACAATGTCAGTGAGCTTATATATAACACACAAGTGACATACAGTGCTGTGCAAACATCAGAACCCCCCTCCCCCACCCCCCACGACCACCTTCATTTAATTTCCACTCAAAATAGCCAATCAATGTCAAGAAAAACACAGGAAAATGACACTGAAGCCCCCACAACAAATTATTATTATAAAAATGTTCTGTTAGTGTGTCCGCCATTTGCCTGGTGCAGCATCCGTTCTTTTCAGGATACTTGCTTTGAGTTTTTCGGGAATATTTTTCCACATCTTCAAAGTTCAGTCTTAGACGTTGGTTGCAATTTTTGCTACTTCCAATCCACAAAATCCCACACACATTTAGTGATGTTGAGGTTTTGGCTATGGGGTGGCCAGTCTATTGTTCTGAGAACTCCATCAACTTCTTTGTTTGATCGCAGGTGTTCTTCTTTTTTTACCATAGAGTTGATCTATCTTCTCATAGTGGAAGGAAGGACAGAAACACCTGTGAATGTCTTCAGATCTGAAGCAAATGTGGAGCTTTTCTCCTCTCTCTCAAAGATGAAAGCTTTAAGGACTGTTATCTGATGGTGACAATTGTCTGCCTTTTATTCCAGTTTTGGAAACTCCTGTTTTTCATTTCCTTTTGACTCTCTTCAGAAATATCTCTTGACAAATTAATAACCTGTTCTTAATGGTCATTTTGACCAGAAATTATACAAATGAAGGGTGGTCTCTGACTCTTGCACAGTACTGTATGTATGAACTCATGTCCTAATGAAAACAAACAAACAAATTTGTTTGGTAGGCCTACATGCAGCAGTAGGCTGTGACTGAGCTTGTTTTCCTGCTCTCTCTTCACGTAGACTCCTCATCAGGCTCAGAGGGTGAGGGATCTCTGGGGAGGACTGGTGGTGCAGGGGTTGAGGCCTGGATTAGTCAAGCACTTCGTGGATCATCTTCATCAACCACATCATCATCCTCATCACACAGCAATGGATCTGCCAATGCTGCGCGTCTAGCAGAGAATAACGCACACACTTACAACAGTGAGTACTCTAGATCTGCACAGTATTTTTCTCCTTTGTTAAATGTGGTTGTGATGTTAATCTTTGTAATACTAATATCCACAGAAGACCGCAATAGAGTTCTCTGATCAGTCACAGTCATGTTTATTTAGTGTGTGCTGTGAGCGTGCTGTCTGATCACAGGTTTTTCAGTGTGTTTCACAGGTGTTTCAGTGGGTGTTTTTACGGATGTAACAATACGCAAATTTCACAATATGTATTACCGTTTTTACATTTACATTTCATAGAATAAGAAAAGAATTGCCTACATAACGCCAGCATTGATTTTTGTATTTATTTCATTTTTAGTTGTTCCCAAAACATTTATTTTCAAAGACATAAAAAAAGAATAAAAACAAAAAAAGAAAACATAAAAAAAATAAAGAGAAGTCCAGATTTCTATATAAAAGTAAACTAAAAATATAAACTATAAGGCCACATCTTAATATTAAACAAACAGAACGTAATATGTTCATTTACATTCTTGTGTTTCTGTATTCAGTGTGGCTCTTACCTTCTCCCCATCCATATAGAGGTGGACTCTACAACTAAATAGAGGTGCAAATCGTTAGCTGTTAACATTCCTACGGTGCGAGTTCTTTGTTTAACCTGTGCAGAATTGACACTTAGAGGCTGCATAAATCCTGTAGGGAGAAGTAGCTGCTCAGTATTTTCTCCTCAAGGCTGAAGTTGGCTTCCTATTCACCAGCTTCTTATTAAAATGTTTTGTTCCACCTTAAATGGAGCAGCAGTAGCATGAACATAATATTTCAAAAAAGATGTCTAACTTCTGCCTTGAGTTTTGTCCTTGCTCCGGTAACCAACACATTTGGGTGATGTTTTCACAAATGAAGTAACATATTTAAAGGTGTCTGTATCCAACTGGGAAACCTAGCCATTTGAAAAAACTTTGCTACTCACCACCCAAGCTAGGCTAACCAAGCCAGTTTTTTTCTAGTTCTGAGAGCTGCACAGTGGGGTCTTTTTTTTTAAAAAAAAAAGGTGATGGTTACTTTTAGGAATATAATAAAACATTTGAAACCTTTACCGTTATCACACATTATAAAGCACAAAGTCTATCAGTATTTATTTCATATTGCATATCTTCTTGCGACCCCTGAATCCAAAAAAATGAATATTAACATGCATATTCTGAAACCCCTAGTGTGTCGATGAATCAAGATGTTCATGTAATACAAAAAAGTTATTTTGGTCAGATTAATGCCAGGCACTTACTAACCTTGTTTTTTTTTTTATTTACTAATGCATTTTAATATGTTGCAAGTGTATTGCAATCACAGTATGAAGCAGTATAATTCTTAGTGGTATTTTGTTGTGCAGTCTTTCACACACACACACCACACACACACGTTCTGCACAAACATGAAATGGAGGCCCAAACTTGACCCGTACCCATGATTTTAAGACCTGATCCGAACAGGCCCAACTGGTACCACAAAATTGGATACCAACTTAAACCAACTCACACTGCTGCGTACCACTAGTTCAGGCTTTGCCTCATTCACAATTGCAGCTCTTAAACAGCATTTACAGGGATGCAGACATTTGCGTTTGCTGTTAAAGCCTTGTTAAACAGGGCTGATGTCCTCAGCATTGATGCCACCAGCTTTTTAATTACTGAATCATGTGCAAAATGCATTACAAAATACCTCTGTCATTTAGAATTAGAGTTTAAGCTTGAGGTAGGGTAGTTAACTCCAATTAAAAACAGCCTTCCTAACGGCGTAAATGAGATGCTACCAGCTGATCAACATTGTACGCACATACACTCACACAAACAACTGTTTGTACACATTGTCTATTATAATTCTTATTATTGTTGTTTTATTATTTACACAAATGTATTCATTCTGTTCCTTTCTCTCTCTGCAACACACCCCCCGCACACACAGTCGGGCCAATTGCTCATCTATCCCTGAAGAGGCGGGGTTTAAGGGAGATGGGTGTGTCATTAGAGAATGGTAACCTGGGTCGTCGCTCTTATGACTACCAGTCTGACCGGCCATGGTCATCACTGGACTCAGAAGGTTAGTATCTGATATTACAATAAACTAAAATCTCTCAGGCCTTAGCAAAAGCTCGCTCATACTGTCCTCTAAACAGAGCTGTACATTAGAACTTTAATCAGGCTGAGAAATTTAGGTCTGAATCCAAATAGAGCCTGTCGGCGTTCTGTCTCAACTGACCTGGACCTGACCAACACCAACCAGATACTCAATGAAACTGATGTTCTGTTAAGTTACGATGTAGTGACAGTGAAGGTACGTGAAACGAGTAGTCTAACTATCAGCCGTCCAAATGTAAATTCTGTTTTAAAGGGTCCATATTGTATATTCTTTTTATATTTTTTTCAAACCTCCCTTGATTCCCTTAATTAAAATGTCTGTTTTTGTTACTGTGCCTTCCAAACTTACATTGACTGGCCACTTCATGAAGTGTCCCTCTTTGTCTGTACCCTTATTGTCCATATTATCAGCTCTACTTACCATTATAAGTGCACTTTGTAGTTCTGTCATTACAGACCGGAGTCCATCTGTTGCTCTGCATACTTTATCCCCCCTTTAGCCTGTTCTTTAATGGCCAGGACTCCCACACAGCAGGTATTATTTGGGTGGGGGATCATTCTCAGCACTGCAGTGACTCCAGTGTAGTGGTGGCATGTTAGTGTATGTTGTGCTGGTATGAGTGGATCAGACACAGCAGTGCTGCTGGAGTCACTGCTGGACTGAGAACAGTCCACCAACCAAAAATATCCAGCCAACAGTGTCCTGTGACCACTAATAAAGGTGTGCAGGAGGACCAACACAAACCTACAAAGGGTGCTGGTTTTCTGACATCATGAAAACAATGAATTAATGAAGTAATGAGTACAGAATGAGCTGATTTAGAGGCATCGGACCAGGGAGTGCAGGATAGATTTTGAAACTTTGACAATGTTTGCATATTGCATCAAAGTTTTTTTTTTTTTTTAAAGGAGAGGAAAATGTATTTTTTATGACATGAGCTATTTAAATTCCGTCAGCAATCAGTGCCTCCAAACAATATCCCAAAGTATTAAGTCTAAATAAACGTTACGGTGTTGTACCTTTCAATCATAGAAGTTTTGATTGTTTTGATTATTTTGATTGATTAAGTCATGTTTGGTCAATGCAATGTGCTGTAAGACAGAAAAAGGCTCTCTGCTGATAGACTTTGTGGTGGAATTTCGAGTCATTTCTTGTGGATGACAGGATGTGGGAACCAAACAAAGTAGGAGAAAGCATAAGGATTCTGGAACAGTGTGTTCAGCCCACATGCTTTTCTGGGACACGTCACTGTCTGCAGTGCAAATTTTAAAGCCAAGGCCGCACAACAAGGCTTGCAGTTTATGGTTACCCAGCTAGATGTTTTCCAAAAACACATGAAATGTCCACTGAAATTGGGGGATTTTAAAGTGTATTTGTGTGGTGATAAGTAAAAGAGGCCATAAAAATCTGGATTTTTAGTGGGTGATTTATGTCTGTGTGCTAGTGTCCAGGGGGATGGCGGGTTTCCTGGGAACCTCAGCTCCAAGGAATGTGTCCTTTTATACAGAAACAAGAATAAACGATAAACAAAGTTAAATGTTTTGTGTGTGTGTTTGTGTGTGAGCAAGTTAAAAATAAATGTTTTTTTTTTTTTTCTGGTGTGACGCAGACAGTCACCCGGCCCCCCCTGACATCACAAGCTACACGTCAGACCCACCCGCTGTTACTGTGGAGCGACCACAGGTCACCATGCCAACCAGAGCTCTGCCCAAATATGGCAACGCTGAGCTTATGGAGACTGGAGACGGTGAGAAAAGATAGTTTGTTGTTCCTGTGTTCCTGTGCTTTGTGGGACCACAGGGACATTGACAAGGTCAGAAAATCCTAAATGGATTTTCAGGACAAGAAGAACCCTTATCAGGGAGGCTACCAAGATGCCTACAGCAACATTAAAAAAGCTAGAGGAATTTCTGGCTGGTACTGGTCACTCCTAGAATGGGACAACAATTCTCCATGTTCTGCATATGTCTGGGCTATGGGCTAAAACAAAAAATGGTACCCAATTAAAAAAAAATAAATAAAAAGATCATTCAAGCCCATCTGAAGTTTGCAAAAAAATACAAAGGGTGAAGTTTTTTAAATTAAATTTTAAATACGTTTGGTACAGCAACACCACAGTTCATTAGCTAAAGAACAGCATAGCAACCTGGTGGTGGGAGCATCATGTGTGGGGCTGCTTTTCTTCAGTTGGGACAGGGGTTCTAGTTAAGATTGATGTTATTATGACTAGCTCTAAATATCACAAGTGTCTAAGATTGGCCCAATCAGAGCCCAAACCTCAATCCTATAGGTCACCTGTGAGATGACATTAATCATTTTTGTGTCTGTGTGTTTGTGTATATATATATATATATATATATATATATATATATATATATATATATATATATATATATATACATACATATATTAATGTCAGTGATTAATTATTGTATAGCCTAATGTCTGTCTGTAACGTGTATATTGTATGGAAATCTATCAAAATTATTGTCTGTGATAATCAACTTTACGATACAGATGCAGCAGATAGAGATTAGGTTGACACTTGAGTATGTCTTTAAAAAAAAGTAGTATTAATATGTGTGTGTTTTTTTTATTTGTGCATATTTGGCTGACTGTTTAGGAGTGCCTGTGAGCAGTCGTGTGTCCGCTAAGATCCAGCAACTGGTCAACACTTTGAAAAGACCAAAGAGACGTCCACTGAGAGAGTTCTTTGTTGATGACTTTGAGGAACTGCTGGAAGGTATCCTGTCTAACATACCAAGATCAAACAATATTTTTGTACAGTTATGTGTTCTATGTTTGTGTGATCCATTTTAATTCAGGTTTACGTAAAAAATATGTAATTTTGTGCATTGTATTCTCTGGTTTGGTCTGTTATGCAGTATGGAAATATTTTTTTATCATGGAAGATATTGTTGTGATGTATTCTTTGTTGTTTTGCCCTGCAGTGCAGCAGCCTGATCCTTCATTACCACGTCCAGAGGGTTCAGAGTCAACAATAACACAAGGGGAAGAGCTGTGCGGACTCAAAAATTGCCCTGCCTCCATGGAGGCGGCTCTGCAACGCTGGGGGGCCATCGCACCTAAAGCACCTTGTCTGACTGTCACACATGCCAGCACTAAACAACCCTACACTCTCACCTATGGTATGTATGGAATTCATGTTTGAAACACTCACAAACACAATCTGATTGTCATACACATGAGTGGACACTCCGATATGCCATGTAGGGGACAGCGCAGTTCGAATTAACTCAAATATGAAAATCACATGATTTCCACAGCTGCACATTTGTCATTAACATCCAATAAAAGTAACTGTGGCGGTGTTTTCCGTGAAGTATTTAATTTTCCCAACGTTTGCTGTCGACCACAGGGCTGAAGTAAACTGGGTGTTGATTTTTTTTGGAAGCCATGGACGCCGCACCTCTCGTTTAGTTCCAGACAAACCCAGTTTTATACAACAAAAAATGAAAAACTACAGAGCATCCTCTTGCCTTTCTCCACCTTAATAAACAATCTATATTGCTAAAGCTCCCGTCTGATATCCACTTTTGGTCTCCTTGCCAAAGATTGTGCAGCAAAACATGTGAATGCAGCATTAGGTTTCCCGCGCACACTGTCCAGCATAGTCTGCCGAAGGCGTCCTCCAGTGCAGGTGTTACTGATATTACTGGTATTGCTGGCATCACCACTGTTTTGCTTACTTAAGACTCAGCATTCTTCAGTGACCAACAAATTCACTGTAGTAGATGAAAATAACTTTGCTTTTATCAAGGCAGCCACGAATTAAACTTCTTGCCATTTAAAATCTGTATTTGAAAGAGAGAGTCACAGCAACAGCATGCAAGCAGCTGGGCTTCAGGCTGCAGCTACGTGTGATTCGAATCGTCCTACTAAGAAAAGGCCTTAACAACGTTAACAAAACAATGCTAGGCCCAAAGCAAACTTGAGGAAACAAATGCATTAGCAAATTTAGATAAAATTAGAAATCCAATTTAAAGCTACTAAAAACTTTAAAGAAAACTTGGAAACCTGTTCGTTCACAAAATGTTTTTAATCCAGTGACGAAGGCTCAGTCATGGCCTGCAGAGCAGGCATCTACTTACATGCATGTGTATCCCATCGAACCGATGAACAAAAGTGCGTACACATATACATGTGGATACCCAGTCAGAACAGAACTGATAGAATTCTGATAGTTGTGGTCAGCTTCCAGCTTAATTCTAACCATACACTAGAAGATTTTGACAAGACTCTGACAAGACTTTTAAAAGACTGATGTCTGACACTCTTACATCTAAATACAATGTGTCTTTAATCGCATAGTTTTAGTCACAAACTATTGGCATGAGCCAAGACTAAAAACTTAAGACAGCTATCTTGACCACCTTACACCAATCGATCGAGATGACGTGAGCGCACCACAACTCTAGCAAAACTCTCATGATTTTATTCTGACTTTGGAAATTTGTCTGCCAAAAAATGCCTAACATGTGCTTAAGGCTGAGACTATCAACACATTAACTTTAACACCACAAAACATTGTGTTTTGTATGTCCTTACACTGCTTTAAGTACTGCTTTAGTTGTAGGGTTTTTTTTTAATAATTTAAAGGAACTGCTTTTCTTCACTGTCCACAAATCATCTATAATGATCATCTTTATTTACTCCACACATTCCCGATCGTAGACCTACAAGATCTCAAAGGATTTAAAATTGTTCCTAAATTTTAACTGAGTGATTGTACTGAATGGCAACTTACATTGCCATGTTGGAATATTCATCAATTATTGTGATTTTCCTCCTTTTAGAGTCCATATACGGAAACCATGCTGCAAAAACATCTGTTTTGTATTCATTATTTCTGTGGTGTCACATCGATCCACCTATTCAGGCTACAGCAGTTTAGCTCCACCTGTTCATACTAATGTTTTAGGTCACTGTTTCAGCTCTGAGTGCTTTTTGAATGTGACACAATACAGAGCAGGCAATTAGAAATTAGAGTTAATTTATTTTAGATCAGTCTTAAAGGCACAGTAACTGAAACAGCCTGTTTATTTACAAGGGATAAAGTGGAAAATGGTCATGTATTATTAAATGAATTATGACCACGCGGATGTTATGTGATCTCAGTGGAGGTATTAAAAAATAAGAAAAGACAGGATAAACACATTAAAAACTGTTTCCAAACATCAGTATATAACACGTGAATGTGGGCAATACTTTTTGACTGCCAGTAAGAGTAACTATCTCTCTCTTCTCTCTCTCTCTCTCTCTCTCTCTCTCTCTGCTCCTGCTCTCTCTCTCGCTCCTGCTCTCTCTCTCTCGCTCGCTCGCTCGCTCTCTCTCTCTCTCTCTTGCACTCTCTGGCTCTCTCAATCCCTTTTGCACTTTCTCCTGACATTCAGGAGTTCAGGGTTATTATGGGATGCCTTCGTTAGCACCCCCTTTTCTCACTGCTGCAGCTATTTATGTTCTGACCCAGTCATACGCTCATGTTACAGTTATAAATACAGACACTCACACACACATCTCTCTGACGCACACATTTGGGCACAGATACATTTTCTGGCCCACTCATAAAGTTTTCACACTGTCAGGCTGAGCTTTACAGTTCCAGACAAGCTTGCTTTTTTGTGAGTTTGATATTAAAATGGTGTTAATTTCACACTAAATAAAGGATATCAGCAGTTCTCGCAATGCCACAGTGGAACCCTGAACTGTTACTTTTTCTGTCAGAGCTGTAATTCCAGGACTGGTCAGCACCAGAATTATGGACGCTTTGTGCAGTGGATTGATCATAGTGCTGAGCTGTATTGATAAAATTCAATATTAGAGCATTTTTGTATACAAAGCACCTCATGGACCTGGCTTGTAACTCGCTCACCCTCATACTCCCTCATTCGTGTTCGGTAGGCTGAAGATTCTGTTAGCACTGAAATAGTTTTTGGTGCTTTGCTCCAGTGACATTGTGTGTCTAAATTTATCACGGTATTATGATGTTTAAGTTAGCATTTATAAAGTTGAAAACCCTGAGTACTGCAAATCTATACTAGATTAAAAAAGAACATCCAAAGAACATCTGTCAACCTAGCTTTTTTATGATAGGACTATTTCTATTGTATTTTCTTCTTTTAAAATTACAAAGGGAACCATACACAGTACTGGAAATGTTAACCAGACAGATGCTAGAAAAAGAAACTCACTCTTGCTGTTTTAGTTTTTATGTGTTTTAAACTCTTATTTCTTTATAGTTTTTATTTATCAGTACTGCTAAAACAAAAATGAATATCGTAATGTGACACCACGGTATAGATTATATGTTGTACAGCAATACTTGCTTTTACGGAAACCAGGTTACTGACTCTGGCCTTTTAATTTTGCTTGAGCTCTGAACCTGCCAGCATGTAAAAATAGCATCTTAATGAGTTTAATGTAGATTGAGTTCATCATTGTGTGTGTGTGTGTGTGTGTGTGTGTGTGTGTGTGTGTGTGTGTGTGTGTGTCTCTTTCTAGGTAAGCTTTGGTCCAGGAGTATGAAGGTTGCGTACTACATCCTCCACAAACTCGGAACCAAGCAGGAACCCATAGTTCGACCAGGAGACAGAGTAAGCTTAACCCAAGCTGTATGCTGATTCTCATATACAGAGTAAACTGTTTCTGCAACTTGAAAAAATAAACAAGCCAGTTATCAAATCATTACAACTGGGAAATTTCCCATAATTTAGATGCCATCTCATAATTATGACTTTGTATTTCATAATTATGATGTAATATTATAAAACAGTGTTTTATATTTGAGTGTTCTATTATTATGAGATATTAATTCATAATTATGAGACAGTATCTTTTGCTTTTGAGAACTTACGAAATGTTATGTCATAGCCATGAGAATCTTTCTCATTGTTATGAGATATTAGGCCAAAATGGCAAAAAAATGACTAAATGGCTTAATTATGTGGTGTAAAAACATACTTCCATTTAAATACAACACAGAGTTAGCTTTATTAGGTTTTCTGTTGATGTTAAATTGTCATTAATGTTCTGATAAAAACTTGCAAAACAAAATGAATGCAACAAAAAGCAAAAAGTAAAGTATGTGTGTGTTGCGTCAGGTGGCGTTGGTGTACCCCAATAATGACCCTGCAGCGTTCATGGTAGCGTTTTATGGCTGTCTGTTAGCTGAAGTCGTACCTGTACCCATTGAGGTTCCACTCACCAAAAAGGTAACGTCCACTCAGCAGATCTGATACCAACAAACATTAATAAAAAAACAAAACATTTTGGCTTTCATAAATGCTATGTTTTGGTTTTGATTGAGAAATAATGAGTCGTTTATCTTTGTCTGTTATTGGCAAATGGATGTTCTGAATCTTATTTGATGTTAGTCATGTAATGCTTTTACGTTAGATATTAATGACACTTGCTCACTCTCTCACTCACTCTCTCTCTCTCTCTCTCCCTCCCTCTCTCTCTCTCTCTCTCTCTCTCTCTCCCTCTCTTTTCCTACCTCGCTCCCGGAAGGACGCAGGGAGTCAGCAGATTGGATTTCTGTTGGGCAGCTGTGGGGTTGCTGTGGCGCTGACCAGCGATGCATGCCACAGAGGCCTTCCCAAGAGTCTCAGTGGTGACATCATGCAGTTCAAAGGTCAGGTACCTCACCTGATGAGCATGTCAGCTTACGAATGGCTGTGATATGTCATCATAATATCTCTGTGTTTTCTTTATTCATATTTATGACCACTCTTTTTCTCTTCATGTGAATGTCTTTGTGTTCAGCATTACCCACTCATGCCCTGGTAATGTTTTATAGAAGGACATCCATACAGCCCAGCACTGTTAAATTAGCAGAACTGCAGCAATTTACAGAGCTTTTCCTTAAAACCTTTACAGCATTTGATCTTAATAGTAATAAAAACAAGTGTGTTCTGAAATAGCCCTAGCTCTGTGTTTATAACATATGTTGATATGTTTTTCTTGTATCAATGTGTGTTTTATATATGTGTGTGTTTTTACTTAGGCTGGCCAAAGTTGCTGTGGGTGGTGACAGAGTCGAAGCATTTATCTAAACCTCCCAGAGAATGGTATCCTCTAATTAAAGACGCCAACAATGACACAGCATATATTGAGGTAAGTGTGTGTCTGTGTTTGTTTTATTGAGGTTTCTAGTGTTTGTGATGAATGGACACTATAAGACATGTATAGCTTGAGAAATCAGAACTTTTTTGATTGAATGACAGTATAAGACGTGTAAGGATGGAAGTGTTCTTGGAGTGACCGTGACGAGAATGGCCATGCTGACACACTGCCAAACGCTCACACACACCTGCGGATACAAGGAGGGTAAGACACTCACTCGCTCACATCTTGGTGGACTCACAGAGGTATGTGTCGTTGGAGTTGGATTTTTTTTTTTACTAGATAATTTACCAGATAGCATAGTTTTACCAGAGGAGGTTCTGTAATGTAATTCATAAGGGATTTAACTGAGTGATTCATGCATAGTTTTACCAGAGGAGGTTCTGTAATGTAATTCATAAGGGATTTAACTGAGTGATTCATGCAGGATAAAGTATCTGTGTAATTTCCCCAAATAATCTCATACAGTATGGACTGACATGTCATTAACTCAGTATTCACATTAGCTATATGCACCACACTCTATACAGCTATACACACTTATTTATTGATTGATTGATTGAGTAGAGGTTCCTTCTATTAGGATAGCGGTGTTTTATCTCTCTGTCTGTGTGTTTTTGTCTGTTTGTGTATATTAGCGGAGACGCTGGTGAATGTGTTGGACTTCAAGAAGGATGTAGGACTGTGGCATGGCATTCTGACGGTGAGAAATCTTTAAGCAATCAGGGTTCCCATGAACCTGTGAAAAATCTTAGAAAGTCTTAAAATAGATTTGAAACATTTAAGGTCTCAAAGTGTCTGAAATTGTCTTTTTTATTAGTAGAGATATTAAATTCAAGCATGTCAAGGCATATTTTAATGAAGATAACAAAGCAGTTTAAATGTCTGCAGCCTGTTATTTTTGGAAAATGAAAAATATGTTTTATTTAGAAAGTAGTAAATGTATGTTTGCGGTGTTGTGCAGTGGAAATTATTATTTTTGATTTGTTGAGGTCTTATTGATTTGATCTTTTTTTGATAATCTCTCTCTCACACTGTTACCCAATATTCTTCTCACCCCCCCCCACCCTCTCTCTTTCTCTCTATCTCTCTCTCTCGCTCTCTAGAGTGTACTCAATATGCTGCATGTGGTCAGCGTTCCATATGCTCTCATGAAGGTGAATCCATTGTCCTGGATCCAGAAAGTCTGTCATTACAAAGGTATACACACACACGCACACACATAAACACACAGAGTAGTTGTGATTAAGAGAAGATGTGATGTTTTAGTTTAAAGAGAAGCACCTGCACTGTGACATATAACAGACACAGAGTTGCTCAGAATGTCCCAGTTCTCTCTTAACACGCAGCAAGGATTGGAAAGCCTCTTTTTGTCATAGCATAATTTCTTACAGCAATAAATTGATTACATTTGCGTAATCTGGTATTTGATTTTTTTTGATCCCAGAACACTTCTAATCTCAACTGAACATTTTCTCTTCAGTTTTTTTGTAATAGCAGAATGGAGATCTCTGATTTTTATTGTTGTTTTCTTCTTTGTCTGTTTGTGTGTTGTGTGTTTTGTATTTGTCTGTGTGTGTGTGTGTGTGTGTGTGTCTGTAACTGTGTTTCTCTTTATGTATGTGTGTAGCTAAAGTGGTCTGTGTAAAGAGTAGGGATCTACACTGGGCTCTGGTAGCACATAGAGATCAGACTGACCTCAACCTGAGCTCTCTACGCATGCTGCTGGTTGCTGATGGTGCAAATCCATGTAAGTGTGTGAGTGTGTGTGGAGGTTAATTAACAAAATCTCACCCCTGGTAGTTCTAGTGTAGTAATGTCTGGTTTAAACATTCATACCCTTAAAAAACAACATTAATTATTTAATATCTCTCTCTCTCTCTCTCTCTCTCTCTCTCTCTCTCTCTCCCTCTCTCTCTCTCTCACAGGGTCTATCTCGTCATGTGATGCATTCCTGAACGTGTTTCAGAGTATGGGCCTGAGGTCAGAGGTCATTTGCCCGTGTGCCAGCTCACCAGAGGCTCTAACTGTAGCATTGAGGAGGTCAGTACACACACACTGAGACACATGCTCTCAGTCACTTTATTCCTGAGACAAAAAAATTGTCTTTTAAAACACTGTCCTCCCTAACGTGCATTCTCAATGATGTTGCTGCATTTATTTTGACAAAAATGCACTGGAAAAGGCTTCACACCTAAGTCGCCTTATGTAATTGCTCTGAAGAAACAAGTCAATAGTATGCTCTTGATTTTTCATTGATTTGAAAAGTATGTATGGACTTGCTAAGAAACTGGAAAGCACATCCAACAATAAATTCAGCATCGTGCTTCTTATATATAGTGGTATAAAACACTGTAGCACGCATAAAGCTCTACATGCTGATTCAGTGGGCCCCAAAAAGTATTTAGTCAGTTTAACCATTAGTAAACTTTTATACCGGTTTGTAGATTACTTCATAAATTGTTTAATGAATTGATATGTTTCAGATACATAATTTTAGCATAACATTTAACTCAGTATGGAAAAAGCCTGGAGAAGAATTCCATTCAGACTGCTCTGAGGGTTCTGTAAAGCACAGAGGTGGAAACCTCTACATCTGGTTGTTCTTACAGTGCTGTCACTGAGCTTGTGTTCACTGATAGGATCAGAATTGTCAGAAGTATTTTGGATGCAAAGAAATTACTCAAATGACAGAAGATTAACAGCAGGTTAACAAACGTTAACAAACTGGCCTTTTAAAGATCTTGACATGGTCTGTTTAAAATAAATGGCACATGGTTTGACATTTTGACAATTAATACACTTTTAAGTATGGCACAAATGTCCACATACTTTTTGGGGCCACTGTATTTCACCATACCTAATGCAGAATTGCACGTGTCACAAGTACTTTGTCTCTAAATGTATCGCCTGTATGGTCTTATGGATGAGGAACAGGGTTAAGAGATGTGATGCATTCAAGATTAGTGGAGCATCCTTGCTCTGGGCTATAACCGCTATAGCATGTAATGTAGTTATGATAGTATGTGAGCTTTGTATATAGTTTGTTTGCTCAGGAGGCTATGTGAAAGGGTCTCTGAAACTGTGGGGGAAAAGGTTCTTCTTACGGTGAAATCTAGTCTTACAGTCGTTGTGTTGTATACATTTTGTGTTTCTCCTGCAGGCCAAATGAAAGCAGTTCTAAGCCTATGGGCAGAGGGGTCCTCAGCATGACTGGGCTGAGTCACGGTGTTATCAGAGTGGACACAGGAGAGAAACTCTCTGTCTTGACACTGCAGGACGTTGGCAGTCCTATGCCTGGAGGTAGCGTGTGTGTGTGTGTGTGTGTGTGCATGAGATCAGAATTACAGTACATGGTAGAGCTGCCTGTGGCATATTTGTAGTTTTATGACTGATTTTCCCCTGATGCTGCAAAGTTGTCATGGGTAGATGTACTAAGCATGTTCATGCAGTAGGCTGTCACTGTTTCTTGATTACCCTGAAAAATAAATAAATAGTAAAATTTACCAATAAATCAGTAAATCTGCTCTGATTTGTTGCCAATTCACATGATGTTGCACATTTTTAAATTCTCTTGGTAATCTCTCTAACAGTAAGAAACAGAGCCTGATGACTTATAATTTGCTATATAGTATTTTCATGTTTTCTTTTAATTATTCCTTTTTAAAGCTTCCATATTAATCATTTTCCAGTAAAATTTTGGAATCGTTGAGAGACTATGCATGATTTGTTATTACCAATTTAATTTTAATTGCTTGGTCTTTTTCAAATGAATTGTCAAAATATTTGGCCGAATACTCAAATACTAATATAATCAATAGTGACACTAGTATGCATGGAACTGTTAGTAGAAGTTGCCTATCCAGAAGCGAGTTGTTCAGTTGAAACTGATTTGCTCTCTCTCTCTCAGCGTTGGTATGTGTAGTGAAACCGGAAACTATTCCTCAGTTGTGTAAAACGGACGAGATTGGGGAGATCTGTGTGTCATCCATTGCCACAGGAACATCCTACTATGGTCTTACTGGCATGACCAAGAACACGTTTGAGGTCTGAATCTTTTCCCTGCTTCAGAATTTTTGCCTTTATAAACTTTTCTAATATTCACAAATCAGGTTACACTGTATGCCCAAAGGTTTGTAAAGACTTGCTTAATAGTTTGTCCCACTACTTCACCCTCTACTCTTATGAGAAGGCTTTACACTAGACGCTGTAACATTGCTGTGAGGGTATGATTGCTTTCAGCCACAATAGTGAGAATTACTTCTGGATAACAAACAGCACACCAACTAATCCCAAAGGTATTCATTGGTGCTCCATCACTCCAGAGAATGCAGGTCCACTCTGCCTCTGAGTGTCCCATTCTGTTGTCAGTAGGGCTGGGTATTGTTTTGATATTGATGCCAACACCCATATCTTGACTTGCAAACCAAAAGTGGGTGTGGTGTAAACCAGAAATAAGTGTGAAGTGTTGAAAGTGTAATTACTGAACATACTGGACTGCAAACTAAGCAAGAATCACTTACGTTGATAACATGCATATGGAGTGTAGTTTAGGCAGCCAATCATCAGTCTAGATTTGGAACAAACATGCTTATTGGCTCATTGACTACTGACCATTTAGGTATTGAAACTTGGTTAGGAATGCCAGATTTTTACATTTTTTTTAGTAAGTAGTGTTGAAGTAGTTTGGTTGGTAGCTTTGAAGTATTAAATTTCGATACCCAGCTCTAATTGGCAGTGCTTTTCTATGGCAGTTAAACAAGCCGTGTGTCTGCAGTTGAACGCCTGTGTCAGCAATGGGTGCATCTTACGCTTGCTCAGTTGGACATATATTGTGTCCATCTCATTGTTCTTTTACTAATGTAATGTAACAAATGCGCTCCTTCTACTTTATTGTATGTGTGATTTACTGAAATATGGATGTTTCTCTCTCCCTCTCTCTCTCTCTCTTTCTCTCATTCTCACTCTCTCTCTTTCGCTGGTGTAGGTGTGTCCTATGTCCAGCAACGGTGTGCTGGTGAGTGAGTGTGTTTTTGTACGCTCAGGGCTGCTGGGATTTGTAGGCCCGGGCGGAGCAATCTTTGTCACAGGAAAGTTGGATGGGTTGATGCTGGTCGGGGGACGGAGACACAGTGCTGACGACATAGTCGCCACTGCTCTTGCCGTTGAACCCATGAAGTTTGTATACAGAGGAAGGTATGGGAGTGTGGGTGTGTGTGTGTGTGTGTTTGCATTAAAAACATTGGACTAAAGCAGTTTAACCAGAGAAAATGATATGGAAGTACAGGCTATGCATTTAGTCTCCAAAGAAGAACATTATTCGCAGTACCACATGTATTACAACTATTACTGTGCTGTGAAAGTGAAAATATTTGTTCATATGATGTGTATTTCTGGCTGTTAACTGAGCTTAATAAACAAAGAACTGTACCATTTTGTGTGTGTGTGTAGGATAGCGGTGTTCTCTATTACTGTACTTCATGATGAGAGGATAGTAGTGGTGGCAGAGCAGAGACCAGATTCCACTGAAGAGGAAAGCTTTCAGTGGATGAGCAGAGTACTACAGGTACACACACACACACACAAACGCACAGCTTTCAGGTAATGAATATTGAGATTGGGTATTACATACACACCAGTGGCACAGCCAGAATTTAATTTTAGATGGGACTGTTGGCAAGTTAGGGGCCAAGCTAGCGAAAATTAAGGCGTAGAGACATCGCTATAGTGATTCATTGTAGCTATATTAGAAAATTACCCACTCATTACCGTAATCATAGGAAACTGAATATTAACACACAATTGCTTACCTTGCATTTAACTGGCTAAAGTTAACAAATGACAGCATACCACAGCAGGTAAACTAATTAATCAGAGTGCTACCTTTTGCAGCACTCAGTCTAGCTGTCTTGGGCTAATGATTGAAGGACTGTGTCATCTTTTTGAAGACTTGTTTTATTTTAAAGTGTGTGTAGCACCGCATGTGCTACCCCGGGCTCAAGGAGGACGCTGGAGGCAGGGTTTAGGGTTGCAGCAGCCATCTCTTTAATTACTCAAATAAAACACCAAACAGACAAAACCAAACAATACAAAGAACCTAAGCTGGCCACTCTTCAGTGGCTTCTGTCCCTTTATCCTCAACAAGGAGCTTTCCAGCTCCTCAGTCTCTTGTTGCTGCGCTCTCTCTCTCTCTGTTCCCTCTCAGCTCTTTTAAAAGGCGCTCACGCTGCCCGCCAGATCAGCATCAGCTGGCTCTCATTAAGGCAGCGCGAGCACCTGAGCCGAGAGGGAACGAGAGCTCGCTGCTCCGCCTCCTCGTCACCGCCCCCAGCTGGCGGCTCAGCCGCCCGGGTCGAAGGTGAGGTGTAGTGGCGCGGCCTCGCTGCGTAACAGGGGGCGGGGCCCAGGCGGCGGAGCTCGGGACTCGCTCCTTCCCCTGGTGCCTCTCGTTACCGGCACCGTCGTCGTCTTCCTCCTCCCGCCGTCACTCGCGCCACTCTGAAGAGCTCGGGCTTTTCGCTCCGCCCCCTCCACACTCGCGGCTCTCTTCCTGCCGCCCTGGCCGAGGTTCGTCGCCGCTGGGTGTTCGGGCCCCGCCTTCCTGCCGACTCTCGCGGCCGTCATCGTCGGGGCCCGGGGGGGCGGGCGCATGCCACAGTGTGGATATCTGTTTTCTTTACGATGGTCAAGTGTTACTACTTGCTGACTAGGTAAGTACCCTATAGGAGCTAATACAGCTCAGCTAAATGGAGCTGTGGAGCAACCTAATGCCCATTTGGTGTTGAAAAGGAAGTTTTGATGATCACATGAGAGCTTTGTCAGTATCTTTTATTCAAGTCATGATAATGCAAGAAAGCAGCACTTATGCACTTGACAACCTTACATTTTGTGTTTTTTTTTATTGGCCTCAATCAGAAATCTGAGGTAGCGATGCACCTGATGCATATAAACATTCACACAGTGTATATATGTCATATATTCATAATGCATGTAATTTCTTGTTCGTAACATTCGAAAATGTTTTTACTCTGTCATACATTATTATTATTGTTGTGTGTGTGTGTGTGGGTGGGTGTTTGTTTGTAGGCTATAGATGGTATCCATCAGGTTGGTGTGTACTGCCTGGCACTGGTCCCCTCCAACACTCTGCCAAAAACCCCTCTCGGGGGCATCCATCTGTCTGAGACAAAGCAGCTCTTCCAGGAAGGGGCGCTGCATCCTTGTAATGTGCTCATGTGCCCCCACTCCTGTGTCACCAACCTGCCTAAACCCCGACAGAAACAACCCGGTACACAGTGTGTGTGCATTTATGTGTGTCTGTGTGTGCTGTAGAGTCTGCTTCTACATCATTTTGTAATGTGTGAAACATGCTCTTCAATTCATTTAACATGAAAATGGTTCAGTGGTTCAGTGGAATGCTCTGTATAAACTGGAAGAAGAATATTGTTATGTGTTTCTGCGTGTTATAGAGGTTGGCCCTGCCTCTGTGATGGTGGGGAACCTAGTGGCAGGAAAGCGGATGGCACAGGCCTGTGGCCGAGACCTGAGCCAAGGGGAGGACAACGACCAGGTACGTGTGTGTGTCTTTTAGGATGAATCAGTGAAAGATGTTTTATTCTGAGTGTCATCTTTTACTTTCTGTTTCCTCTGTGATCCAGTTCCTCTTCCTGTCTGAGGTGTTGCAGTGGCGAGCTCAAACTACACCTGACCACATACTGTACACGCTCATCAACTCAAGGGTATTACACAAAACATAATACACAGCATGGGAAAACACCACAACCAGCTGTTTCTAATAAGGATGTGCATAGGTACATATGTGATAAGTTAACCGTTCGAGGTACCAGTATCCAAATACTGAAATACATATATATATGGGTATAATACAGATTTTATCTCTGTAAAGTGTTTTGCTCATATTTGTGAGTACATATGTGCATCATTTTACACTGTGCTGCTATAAAACACAAGCATATTAACTTCAGTGTGTTACCAAAGATATGGCTGTGCCACAGCTGTGAACAACTCAAGTTGATATTAGCTCGGTCTAGAAAAAGTATAAATATATTTCATGTCAACAAAAAAATTTGTCCACTGAGGTAAAAGACTTAGTGTTGATGGCAAGTCCTCATTAGCGCTCAGCGTTGTACCTGTTGGTGGTAGTCGTAGCCCATTATGTCATCTGAAGAGGCAGTCACCATTAATGATCCGGCATGAAAACCTTTTTCTTTTTTTGAATAATAATCAACTTTCAAATGCATTCTTCTGCACGCGGCTAAATTGTTATGCCGTTGTTGCTTGCTAGCACCACGCCATAACCTAAAAAAGCAAGTCTGCTACATGTCCACGTAAACTTTTTTATTTTTTTTATTTTTATTTTTTTCCTTCCTCACAGTTAACCAAATATCCATTCATTGACTCTGATGGATACTTGAATATCAAAATCAGTCAGAATGCACATCCCTAGTTTCTTCACTTACATGTTTTTAATGATTATGATGTAATCAGTGTCATAAGTGTGTCTGAGTCTGTTTGTGTGTGTGTGTGTGTGTGTTTTAGGGGGCAGTAGGGAGTTCTCTAACATGTTTTCAGCTCCATAAAAGAGCAGAGAAGATCGCGGCCCTGCTGTTTGAGAGAGGGCAGCTGCGAGACGGAGATCATGTAGCATTAGTGTATCCACCAGGTAACTTTACATTCTGCTCATAGATTTTAATTTTTCACAGTATTTGTCCATAAGAAAAAACAAAAAGTAGAGGTCTATACATCTTTGAACAAATCCAGGAGCCCAGTGAGATAAGAGCAATTATGTGTACACACACTAAGGGGTTGAAGTTTATTATAGTTCATCCATGTTTCTGCTAAGTCAGTTTTTGGGGGTTATTAAGTGTTTTGTCATTTCATTTTTGGTCATGCAAAAAGCAGAGATGTTGTATTAAAGTCACATTTTGTGTATCTGTGTTTATGTTTGTGTGTTCTACAGGTTTAGATCTCATTGCGGCATTTTATGGTTGTTTGTATGCTGGCTGTATCCCCATCACAGTTAGGCCACCTCATCCCCAAAACATCTCAACCACTTTGCCAACTGTTAAAATGATTGTAGAGGTAAGCACAATGCACTTATACAGACATGCATACATGTGGATGGATATATTATTATATGCATCTATCAGTAGGAGAGCATCTGAAGAGCATTTAGAACAAAGCGTGGTGGGTAATATAAAATATGTATGCAAATGTATAGTGTATATGCTGGTGAACGAAGTTTTTAGAGGAAAAGAATATATTCCTTTAGATCACGTTCCAATCCGGATCGGAGTCATCTGTGGCTAAGTCAAGGCATATTTTAGGTATACTAAACCTGTGGGGAGTATGAAAAATGTATGAGAATTGTTATAAATTGTAGATACTATACCCAGGGATGTGGATGTAACTTGGGAAAACGTAAAGTTTTTTTTGCTCACAGGTTTTTTAAATTTATTTTGGTTGCTTTCCTCATTGATTTATTTCTTTTTTACTGTTGTTTATTTTACATTTTTTAATCATTTTATCATTTTTTTGTATTGTTTATTGTTTTCTACTTCCATCTTTTTTATTCTTACCTACTGAGTGGTATTTAATTATTTTAATTTATTTACTTTTTTCAAGAAGATTTTTTTTATATTTATGTTCTGTTTTAATAAAAATAATGTATATATTATTATAAATTTATATATATAATTTTACTACAACCCTGTTTCCAAAAAAGTTGGGATGTTTTTGGGACAGTTGGGAAAATAATTTATACCCTATATTTAATTGAAAATTTTATTTGAAAAATATATGCTCGTTTTGAAATTGATGCCAGCAACACCTATCAAAAAAGTTGGGACAGTCTTTACCACTGTGTTGCATAACCACTTTTAACAACACTCTGTACGCGTTTGGGAACTGACCAATTGCTGTAGTTTTGAAAATGAAATGTTTTACTTTTCTTGCTTGATACAGGATTTCAGCTGCTCAGCAGCTCATAATTTTCATTTCATAATGCGCCAAATGTTTTCAGTGGGTGACAGGCAGGCTGGTTTAGCACCTGGACTCTTTTACTATGGAGCCAACCTGTATATATCATTGAGCAGTAGTTGTGCCTTCACGGATGTGCAAGTCACCCATGCCATGTGCATTAATGCACCCTCATGCAATCACTTATGCTGGGTTTTGAACTGTGTGCTGATAACAAACCAGATGGTCCAGATGGTCAAATTTTGATTCGTCAGGCCACAGGACCACCACGTCAGGTCCACTTCACCTCAGTTCATCTTAAATGAGCTTGGGCCCAGAAAAGTTAAGGTTAAGGTTATGCATTAACATCCCTAATGACCGTTAATCCACACATGCACACACTTAAACAATTGTATTTGTTTACAGGTGAGTCGCTCAGCCTGTGTTATGACCACCCAGGCGATCTGTAAGCTCCTGAGGTCTAAAGAGGCATCAGCCGCTGTGGACTTACGGTCATGGCCACCTGTCCTTGACACAGGTAAAGTTTGGGTGTGTATGTGTGAGAGATAAAGTTAATATAGTGCTAATGTTGCGTGTAAATAGACTACCATGACCATTTTTTGCTTTTATCCAAATGTCGTTGTATGCATTGAGCACTGAGTGTGAATGTATTCTCTTTGTGCCTGTTTGTGTGTGTTTAAGATGACCTACCGAAGAGACGGTCTCCGCTACTGTATAAGCCATCTGACCCAGAGTCTCTGGCATACTTGGACTTTAGTGTGTCCACCACGGGCATGCTTGCTGGGGTGAAGGTACTCATTTGCACATTCACTCGATTGAAATTACATGCTCTCAGGTACATACACTCTGGGATGATGGTAGTTTTAGGGAAACAAGGACACACGGTCACTGATGTGCCACTAAGTAGAAAAAATAGGCAAAGTGCCTACTTTGTAGAGAATCTTCAGCCTGCTAAACACGAGTGGGTGAGTTACAAGCCAGGTCCATATGATACTTTACATCTAAAAAATTATATGCAGTGTAATTAGTAAGTAATTGGACATATTAAACAGACTGTGTAAGAGTAACAGCCCTGTTTATATGTAGCTCTCCCATTTAAGGGGACCAAAAGTAATTTCCAAAAATCCAGCTTCTGTGAACTATGGTGACATTAATATTTATTGCTGCCAGTGGAACCTCAGTTGTCTTTACTGATGATGTATACTGCGGCATAATGATTGCTGGAGTATACGGAAGAAATAGCGATACCAAAAATCCTTAATGGACAGTACTTCAGCATTTGGTTGTGGGCTGCAGATGTCAAACAATCATGCAACAAGATAGCAAATTATGATGGCCTAAAATGAAGGAACTATGTACACAACAGTAGAAACAGCTGTTTGATATATGTTAAAGCAGACTTTCTTCAGAACCTTCGCAGCATTCCTTATAGTCAATGTTTTATTTCCAATCCAGTGAGCTGAATGTGCCGAAAAACTGGCACTGTTCACTTACTTTCAGAGTGCACTGTTCTTTACTGTAGCTAATTTATCATTGCATCATTTCCTGGAGAAGTTTATGACCATTTTGATGTTTCATTTTTCTCTCTCTCTGTCATATGTAGATGTCTCACAGTGCTACCAGTGCATTGTGTCGTTCTATAAAGTTGCAGTGTGAGCTCTATCCGTCTCGTGAGGTGGCCGTATGTTTGGACCCGTATTGTGGACTGGGCTTTGTTGTGTGGTGCCTCTGCAGGTACAGAACAGCTTGGTATTCCAGAGAATTTCTAAAATCTCTTAGTATACATACTCTATCTGCCCTAGCGCAATCCTAGTATAAAAGAAGTGAAAAATCTATTGCTGTCTTGTGACAGGAATTTTTTGATGTTTCTGATATCATTGGCCCCCCCATAAAATACTATTTAAAACAAGCTGTATTCACTGATCAGACCTAGAACTGTCTGAGCATGGCCTAATATTCTAATGAGCAGGCTTGATTGAACTGTGTATGCATGTTTTAGTGAGTATGTATAAATATATAAAATATGTTTCTGTGTGTGTAGTGTGTACGCAGGGCACCAGTCCGTACTGATCCCGCCAGCAGAGCTGGAGGTAAACCCAGCCCTGTGGCTGCTGTCTGTCAGCCAGTTTAAAGTGAGAGACACATTCTGCTCCTACTCCGTCATGGAGCTGTGTACCAAAACACTCGGCACTCTCACTGACTCGCTCAAGGTGAGTTTATACACAAACAATCCCTGACATGTGCAAGGCATGCTTTTATATGCACATGCACACATGAATAATCCTGTTTAAAATTTTTGTTGCTTTACATACAATAATATTTTAATTTAAAATATCAGTTAACAGACACTAAAAGATATTTTTTAAATGTTAATGTACTTTGTGTTTTATAATAAAAGTTATGCTGTAATTATCTATTTACATAGATTTTTTTTGTCAAGTTATCTGCACCAATATTTGACCACCACTTTTGAAACATGAAATATTTTGAATATTAATTATATCATAATTTCATTCTTGATGTTATACAGCTTTCTTAGTCATTTTCGAATCACCTCTAGCTTGGATCTACACATCTAAAATTTCTTTACATTTTTTACAGCTTGCCAGCTTTCTACTAATAATTTAGAACCTATGGACATTGAATGTGATTATTGCATTCAGCAATAATTTTGTGCATTTATATGGAACTAAATTGGTTTAATATGTGTGTATGTGCTGTGTCTCAGGCACGGGGACTGGATTTATCACGTGTGAGGACATGTGTGGTTGTGGCAGAGGAGAGGCCGCGGATCTCTCTCACTCAGTCCTTCTCCAAACTCTTTAAAGATGTGGGGCTGCACCCCCGCGCTGTCAGTACTGCATTCGGCTGCAGGATTAACCTCGCTGTGTGTCTGCAGGTCAGCTCTCGCTGTCAACACACACAGACTAGTGATGTTATGACTGCATGTTTTGCGAAAGTATGTATGTGGGAGTGTAAGTTTGTGTTTGTGGGTGTGAGTAACCAAGATTCAGGAAGAACTTCAATATTCATTGATTAAGTATATAGTGGAGCAAAATAATATTCCTCCAGGGTCTCGGTGTAACTTAAGGGACAGTAAGGCCCAATATGTAAATATTGCCAATATAAATATATATTTGTATTTTACATTTTAATTTTATACAGTGCTTTTCTGACTAATATGGTTGTCAGGTCACTCATTTCATAACTGAAATAAACAGCAGAAACTCACAGTCAAGGTTAATGCTATAGCACTGGTGGTGGAGCTACCCAGACTTCTTTGTGGTTTTGGTTTCTGTAAAATACCTCTTGTTTTTCTTAAATTTGATTAGTTCTCGTCATAAGAAAGGTTTTTGTGCATATCTTAATACATTGTTCTCATTCTAAAGGTTAGGCTTGGATACATTGTGCATGTTCTTGTTATTCTGTGATGATATTTTGTGTTCATATTTACCAGTTCAGTCTGGATTACTGTAACACAGTTAAAGAGGGGACTCGTGATTCATAATGAGTTCACCAGTGACATAACTATGTAAGGTTTTACCCTATCGTCGGGAAATTGCGAATTTGATTCCTACTGGTCAAATTAGATAATTATCAGCGTTAATTGTCATAATTATGCCGTTGAGAATTCTGGGGCTGAGACCAAAAAGTTTCGTAATGCCAGAAGTTTGACAATGAATATCTCTTTCTCAAAAACTCAAAAACACTTTCCTAAATGGTATTGACAAAAATATGTCAAAAGAACTCAGGAGTAAGATAAATGTAATCAGTATTTTTGCATGCAGATAGTTGGGAGGATTCCTTTAAAAGTATATTCCATTACAGATTACATATAAACATTACCAGCAGTGAAGAATAACATAGTGCCTGTGATGGATAGCCCATTACAACCAGCTGCATAACAATATATTCTATAAGAAACCTAAGGAAGCGTTCTTCAGTGGTAAATGTGAAGAGTCCAGAGAAAGAGTGTCATGTAATAAAGTGGCTAGTGAGAGGTGGACAGTGTTGATTGGATTGATTAGATGATGTCGTCTCTCTCCTTGTAGGGCACCTCTGGACCTGACCCTACTACAGTCTATGTGGACATGAGAGCTCTCAGACATGACAGGTACTGCACATGTGGAATATCCACATCTACCATCCTGAAATTTTACCACATGAAATACTAGCACTTAAGCAGATTGTTTAAAACTATGTATTTGGGTGTTTTAAAAACATTTACCATAAGTGGAACCAAACACAAATGCAGTAAAAAGTGATATCTTTTCATTAATTAGAAGAAAAGGTTTGATTCCACTTTTCTCCTCAACACCCCCAACTATTTTATAGTTTTGATAAATTCCACCAACAGCACACAGAGGTAATTCAGTAAAGGATTAATGTATTAAATGATAACTGCTATTAATACTGGGCTTCTTGAGGACAGATTTGGACGTGATTAAACAAATACAGTGACGTATAAAATCAGTACTTAGTGTATTAATGAGCAAATAAACAGTTTCTGCCCTGATAAATAGCTATTTAAGTATGATTTTCTCAAGGGCAGAAACATTACTGTATATGCAGACACACGCACTTTAGACAATCTCAGTTTAAAGATGCATTTCTTTGTTCTGTAAGGTGCAGTTATAGTGAGTAATAAGGTATACTTATATATGCATTTTTAGAGTACGGTTGGTGGAAAGAGGGTCTCCGCATAGTCTGCCTCTAATGGAGTCAGGCAAGGTGAGTAGTAATGCGTTAGTAATACCATACCTGTGCATTTTATAAAGAAGTGTTTTAAAGTCATACAGTTTAATAAAACAGGTAAAGACAAACTGTTTTGTTCTCATGTGCAGATATTACCGGGTGTCCGCATCATCATTGCCAACCCAGAGACAAAGGGACCAATTGGAGATTCTCACCTAGGAGAGGTTAGAGCAATGTAGCCTTACTCTGCAAACACTGATGACCAATTTGAATGTAGTAAATCTGTATGTGTGAGGACTTTGTGTAGGTAAAATGTATGTGTGTGTCTGTGCTGCAGATTTGGGTGCACAGCAGTCAGAATGCGAGCGGGTATTTCTCCGTATTTGGAGAAGAGAATGTTCGCTCAGATCATTTCAGCGCCAGACTGAGTTTTGGTGACACACAAACCATCTGGGCCAGAACTGGCTACCTCGGGTTTCTTCGCAGGACAGAACTCACAGACGCCAGTGGAGGTGCGTACATGTGGTGCAGCATGTTGTTGGTGATATACTTATTCCATATTAGTGCATATGTGTTAATGCATGTGTCTGAAGTTGGCTCTGTTGGTTTAGATTCGATGAGGACTGTGTGTGCATATTTGTATATATTTGTGTAAGTCACTGACCTCACAGTGATTCAGTTCAAATATATTTCTTTAGGAAACAAGTCAGTACATCACAAAATCTATACCACAGTTCAACTTAATGTTGATAAGTCAATTAATGCGAGCTTGAGTCGAGTCCCAAATCTCTGAGTGTGAGTCGAGTCTGAAGTCTTTAGTAGAGAATTTTATTATGGTCTCATTATAAGCTGCTGTCATTGCATTGTACAAAAGTAAACCTCTATTTAAGACCTGCCAGGTTTGACACGGCTTCAAAAAAAGAGCCTTTTCTTGTAGAAGAACCATCAGTCTGAAGGATAGAACTGAAGCGCTTCATTCAGTAAATGCAAGGTTTAAAAGAAAGAGGTAAAACAACATGAAATGGTTGGTTAGTCTGTAGTTTGTATAGCAACTGTGCTCACTAGCTAGTGTAATGCATACATTTTAAAGGAATTTGATTTTTAAAAGGAACTTTCTTAAACTTCAGCTAGATTATCTGACAGCTTCACCTAAATTTTTCAGTTTCTATTTATTTTGTCTCTTTCCTTTAAACACAGCTTTTACCGCTGTCAGTATTCATTCTGTCCATCAAACTGAAGGTTTTTCTATAATAATACATTATACTTATATAGCGCTTTTCAAGAACTCAAAGACGCTTACAGGTTTTTGAAATACAGAACAGTAAAGACAAACATGAGAACATGAAGCACAGTCATAACATCACAAGCAAAACATAGCAGGACTTGGCAAAGGGCTGGTTTAGGATTGAGAACAGTTATAAGCAATAGAAAAGAGAGAAGTTTTAAGTTTAGATTTAAAAGTGGAGACAGTGTTGCCCTGTTGAATATGTGAGGGAAGAGAGTTCCAGAGTCCGGGAGCCAGCCTAGAGAAAGCACAATCTCCGTACCCATGTAGTTTGGAAGGTGGGACAGTGAATAAACCAGCAGAGGAAGACCTGAGAGTGCGAGTTGGTTTGTAGGGAATAAGTAGATCAGAGAGGTAAGAATGAGCAAGGTTATGTAGAGCTTTGTATGTGAGGAGAAGAATTTTGAATTGTATGCAGTATTTTACAGGAAGCCAGTGGAGATGTTGCAGGATGGGTGTAATATGCTGATGTGCATGGGTGCGGGTGAGAAGGCGAGCAGCAGAGTTCTGTACGATCTGGAGTTTGCATAAATGGGAGGAGTTAATACCAGCAAAGTAGAGAGTTACAGTAGTCCAGGCGACTAGAAATGAATGCATGCATAAGGGTTTCTGCAGCAGACTGAGAGAGTGACGATCGAATTTTTTCAATGTTACGAAGATGGAAAAAAGAGGTTTTAACTACAGAGTTGATGTGTGCACTGAATGAGAGAGTTGAGTCAAAGAGAACGCCCAGATTTCGTACCAGAGGGGAAGGGGACAGAGTTACATTGTCAATGGAAAGAGAGAAAGGAGAGTTGATTTGGATCCTATAAGAATAAGTTCTGTTTTGTCACTATTTAACATGAGAAAGTTGTGCTTCATCCATGTTTTAATTTCTGTTATGCAGTTTTCAAGCTGGGTGAGGGGTGGATTTTTAATAGATTGAGTGCTAATGTAAATCTGTGTGTCATCCGCATAACAGTGAAAGTTCAGCTTGAAACTACGTATTATGTGGCCAAGAGGAAGCATGTACACGATAAACAAAAGAGGTCCAAGGACTGAGCCTTGAGGGACCCCCTGAGTAACCACAGACGTGTGAGAAGTATGGCCACTGAGGGTGACAAACTGTTTTCTGTCAGTCAGATATGACTTAAACCACTCCAGGACAGTGCCCCTAATGCCCAGATCATGCAGCCTTGATAGGAGGATTGAGTGGCTCACCGTATCAAAGGCTGCACTCAAGTCAAGTAGTAGAAGGATGCTAAGGGCACCAGTATCGGCAGACACCAGGAGGTCATTAGTGACCTTTATTAAGGCAGTTTCTGTGCTATGAGAGGGACGAAATCCGGACTGGAATGGTTCAAAGAGGCAGTTAGCTGATATGTAATACTGAAGTTGGCTAGCCACAGTTCGTTCAAGTACTTTGGACAGGAAAGGGAGGTTAGAAATGGGGCGGTAATTACTGAGTTCTAGTGGATCAAGGCCAGGTTTTTTAATTATGGGTGTGATGGCAGCAATCTTGTAAGCAGAGGGTACCTGTCCATAGAGAAGCGAGTTATTGACAAGAATTGTGAGATGAGGGACCAGCGCGGAAAGACAAGCTTTAGTTAAGGTTGTTGGAAGGGGATCAAGAGAACAAGTTGTAGTTTTAGAAGTAGTTATGGTGTTTATAATGGAAGAAGAATCAACAGTGTTAAAGGTAGAGAGATTAGAGGAGGGGGGCTGGGGCTTATAGAATGGACAGTCAGGGAGGAAAGGGAAGAGGTATTATTAGTAGGGGATAGCAGAATAGATATAATGAAAGACTTGTTATTTGAAGCCGTATTGAACCATGACCATGGCAAAACGTACAGGCTGAAAGTCACACATGTAAGGTTAGAAACTAAATGTTTTGATCATTTACTGCATTTAGGTTTGTGGACCAAATGAAACCCATTTTGTTCATGTTTTGTCTCAGGCTACGTTTTACGAGTCTGTAGTCTCAAATATGAGTCGAGGCATGAGTCATGTAAGGGCAAATCAGTAGAGTCGTGTCAAATATTTAACCACATTTTTAAAAATACAAAGAATATTCAAATGGAGCAGGACTGGAGGAACAATTTACACAGTAATGTAATATAGACAATAAAAACAATACACCCGACTTTTATTTTCCGGCACATTTATTTTCAAGAAGTGACATTTTTCAGTAAACTATACCTGTATTATTATGTTTTATTTAAGCACATACATTCATAACTTTTGTATGCAAAATTTTTAACACAATGCATGCATCAATGTGTAATGATGTATGCTATTTCTCAGAGAGGCATGATGCTCTGTATGTGGTGGGAGCACTGGATGAGGCAATGGAGCTGAGAGGGATGCGGTATCATCCCATTGACATTGAAACATCCATCATCAGAACACACAAGAGCATTACAGAGTGGTGAGTGCACACACATACATACATACATACATACATACATATATGCATAAGCAAATATATTTGTACACACAGAAATGCAAATTACAGAGTACACATTAGGATAAACATCACAGTTACTCGGTTAAACTAGATAAAAATGTATACATTCAAACTTACTTAATGCAAACTTGTGGACACCTGTTTATATGCATTTTCGCCACACTGTTCCAAATACACCACCCAAGTACACCTCGTTTCTGCACTCACTGTCCATTTTATCAGGGTCACTTACCATATAGGTCCACTTTGTAGTTCTACGGCTACAGACTGTAGTCCGTTTGTGTCTCCGCATACTTCTTTGGCCCCCTTTCACCTAGTCCTTCAGTGATCAGGTCCACCACAGAGCAGGTATTATTTGGGTGGTGGATCATTCTCAGCACTGCAGTGACACTGACGTGGTTGTGTTGTGTGTTAATGTGTGTTGTGCTGGTACGAGTGGATCAGACACAGCAGTGCAGCTGGAGTTTTTAAACACCTCAGTGTCACTGCTGCACTGGGAATAGTCCACCTACCAAAAAATATTTAGCCAAAAGTGTCCTGTGGTCAGCGTCCTATGAGCACTGATGAAAGACCAGAGGATGAACAACGCAAACTGTGCAGGAACAGTTAGGACAAGGACAAGCTATCGTCTCTGACTTTACAGATAGAAAGTGAAAATGTCAGTCTCGTGGAAGTATTTCACGGTTTCTATGAAGGACGCATACTGTACATTCTGTAACAAACAAATATTAGAAACTCTTTTTATTTATTGGCAGTTTTGTCCTATTAAAAAGATCAATTTTATCAAAAAAAAGTGTTTTTCTTCATTACCGTGGGGTTTTTGGTTTAGTGTTTTGGTCAAGTGTGTCCTATATAACAGTTTCAGTTTAAAATAACATTATAACATCAATAAAAATAACATTAATGCATTAACTTTGTCAATGTGTTCACTTAACCATTTCCAAACACCTTTTGGCATCCCCGTATTAATTGTTGTTGTCCTGTAAATGCCTAGTTTGCCTAATCAGTCTATCATGAAAGTAAATCAGGAGTGCTAGTGATGGAATTGAACAAGTCCATGCAATGGCTGGGGGCATTGAGGAGAAGTCCATAAACAAATCTTTTCTCTTCTGGGTTGCTCAAGATATTTTAAGTACTTTTTTTGAAGTTTTTATTATATTAACAGTAAAGAATATATTCTGTTATATAGTATTTTTACTGGTGGGAACACACTTACTGCCCAGACAAATGTTTTTAAACAGTTTGCTTTGGTCCAAAAGACTATTGCACAGTACTCAATGTGTGTGTGTCTGTGTATATATATAATTATTATTATTATTTTAAAGGCTTCCTGGTTCATTTTTTCCAGTGAATTATTTTGTAATATTTAAAAGCCTATGCATGATTTAAAAGTATAATTACTCAATTAATATTCAAAGTAATCAATATATTACACCATTTGTACTATGATCCGTAATGACAGTCCTAGTAGACATGCATGCTTTTTACAGACTTGGAGTGAACAGTTGTGTTTGTTTTATATCCATGTACGTTGGTGTTAATGCATGTATATGTATGTTTCTCTCTCTCTCTCTCCCGCTCTCTCTCTGTCTCTAAGCGCTGTGTTCACCTGGACTAAACTCTTGGTGGTGGTGGTCGAGCTGGACGGTTCAGAGCAGGAGGCCTTGGACCTGGTTCCCATGGTAACCAACGTGGTTCTGGAGGAGCACTACCTCATCGTGGGCGTCGTGGTCATCGTGGATACGGGCGTGATCCCCATCAACTCGCGTGGAGAGAAGCAGCGCATGCACCTGAGAGATGGTTTCCTCGCCGACCAGCTTGATCCCATCTACGTGGCTTACAATATGTAGAAAAGACACTCAAACAGACACACCCTGATCTGAGTGCATATACATAGCTTACAAAATATAGAAACACACACTAAAGCCCATCTGTAGAGACCCACTCGCACAAACATGCACTTTCTCAAACACATTTGCACACACTTCATGTTGAACTACATTTAAATTGTTTTCAAAACGTAGAAACTCAAGCACACACTTTTACATTTGCAAGCTAAGAGCACTAACCCATAGAACACAGAACAAGACTATGAACTGCAGACCTGTATCCTTACACATAAACACACACACTGGCAACAAGTGTGTGTTGGCTGATCAAAGGCTTTTACCTCGCTTGCAGATGTGTGGCAGATATGGCGTTTATCATGCCAGAACAAAATTAAGTTTTATTTTTATTAGAGATGGCACAAGCTATTTTTAATTGAATCACCTAATGATGTCTGTCATGCTTAAACTGCTGACAAAGCCACAAAAGTTTCTTTAAGCAATTCTGTAGAAGAACCAGTATTCGTTCCGTGAAGTAACTTGTTTGTAAGAGATTTTTTTTTAATTCAAAGAATGACATAACGACATGCTGCAAAGGTTCTTTGCCAATTTAAAGGTTTTTCATAGAACCAACATTATGTGGGAGGTTCTTTAAACTTTAAAATGGTCCTTCACACTCACACATCTCATTTATAAAAATGGTTCTCCAAAAAAAATATTCATTCAAAAGTTCTGTATGAAACCAAAAGTGGTTTAAACCCATTTTGGCACTTTAATTTTTAATAGTATATTTCAGGCTAGATTTGTTGAATTAGATCAAATTCATTATTTTTCCCTCTAAAACGCCATCCAGCATTTTCTGCTGATATTGAAACCCGGTACTGAAAGTGTCATCTTTGTTTTCCCATACTGATATCAATTTTGAAACCATGAGTATCAGCTGACACCAATATTTCTCCTTTTTAAAGCTAATAATCTTTGAAACAAGCTACTCAAACATGGTACTACCCCACAGGATGAAATACATAATCAACAGCATGCCATCACACAAGGTGATTGTGCTATTTGAGGCTAGAATTCAGGATTGACTGGATTTATTTTATTTTTCTCTCTAATATCCGATCCGGCGTTTTCTGCTGATATCAGCCTGGGACCCAGACTAATCAGTACCAGTATGCCATCACTAGTGCCATCTCTAGTTTTAGTGCATAGAGTCAAAACAGGATTTCTGTTTCTCATCAAAGCAAAACATGAAAAGATTGTTTCACTTGAATCATTTATGGAGTAAAACCAACACAGACAACACAATTTTATTTTTTTTTGATCATCAGCCAACATGCTAACTAGCCAACAAGACAAATTTATACTTCTTTGCTGGACATTATCTAGACATTACCCCTTCGATCAGATAAGTCACTATACACAATTTTACAGTAGATTTAACACGTAAGGATACACTCCCACACTCATAAACACGCACACATATGTGGACTATGGTGCATGTGTATATAATGGACTCAGAGACTACCATATCTTAAACTTTATTTGATGTTTGTGCGTTTTTGTTCCTGTGTATTTCACTGTTCAATGTTTTGCTAGTGTTGCTTATTTTTTTTTAGTCTACAATATTTTCAAGTCAGGGAATTTTATAAGATGTTAAGATATATACTGTGTCAATCTTTGCTAATTTTCTTTAATAGTTTTGTCTCTTTTTTTAATACATGGTGTCACAAAAGTAGCTGTTTTATACAAGGACATATCCAACCAAACATGTTAGTTACTTATTTTTCTTAGTAGCGATTAGTGGAGGAGTTGATCCATTTACCAGCCTTTTATTTTCTTCTTCAGCAGCATAAATACCATAATCTGTGACCATTAACTCTTTGCAGTCCATTGAATTAAATTATTTTAAATGTAATTATTAATTGTATTTTCTTTCTTTTAGGATTTTAACTTTGTCTAATATATTTTAAAGACCGTTCTGTCATCTTGTGTGAATAGTATCATATAAGGAGCAGATATATAGTTGTGTATAATGTACAGCTTGTGTTCATAAAGATCACTTAAAGTAGCGCTTCCTCTCTGTTACAATACATTGCTGGGCCGGAAAATGAGACTCTGCGAGGAGGAGTAATGATGGACAGATGAACTGATGAAAAAGGGGACTACTAAAAGGCAGAGAGAGGCAGAGTGCACAGTGGGTGTAAATCCTGTTTATTTTTTATTTTTACGTGCTTTGAATCATAAATTTCCTGCAGGCCTGTGAGCACTTCTGCAGGAGGTTCTGTCACTATGGCAACATCTAATAGAAAATGTCTTTTAAAATATTAATAAAATATTTTCTGTTATTCTTGCCAGTAAAAAAAAAAAAGAATAAACCTGGTGGGCTTCTTTTGGACATGTGGGGGGAAATCCATTTCTTCACAATGATGGTGTTACCTAAATTTCTTTAGCAGAAATTTCTTCTTTTGCTGTTATTTATGAAAATGCATGAATTTCAGGTATAAAGTCTCTGCATCTGATGTTCTTAGTTTAAGCAAGTCTACACTCACTGCTTACTTTATTAAGTTCACTTACTTTGCATCTACATTAATTGTTCATTTCATCAGCTCCACATAGATGCACTTTGTAGTGCTACACTTACAGACTGTAGTCCATCTGTTTCTCTGCATAATTTGTTAGCCTTTCGTTACTTCATCCATCAATGGTCAGGACCAGAGTTGGGCGAAATACTTAAATTTAGTGATGGCTGAATACTGAATACACTGTCCAAATGTATTGAGTAGCATATTCTATCACAATAAATAAAAAGTAACATATTCAGAATACAATTAGAGCCCATCTTGATTAGGCAGGTTTTTTTTTCTTTCTTTTTTCTTTTTTAATTCACACTGTTCCTTGCTGTCACTTGGTTGGCCCCTTTCTTCATGTAACTGTTCTGTTAATATGTTTAATGAAAAAAATTGCTTATGATTTAAATGTTACCGAATGTTTTTTTTTTTCATACATTTTTTGTTTTTCATCGTCTGCTTCAGTCCACTCCTACTCCTACAATTTCCCAAGCAGGAGTCCACTACAACACTGATGCTAAACTAATCACTCACAGACATGCCTGCTACTAAGGAAATTATTAGTTTCATCATCCCTCAATGCAATAATGCAAAAATTAATAACTGCCTCACCACAATGATTTATCAGTCTATTTAGGCTTTAGCAGAAACTGCAGTGTTTGTAAAGAGGCCATTAAGTGGGTTCCTCTTGAAAGTTCATCAACGGGCATGTTTTCCACTCCACATGCTGTGTTTAAAATGGTTAATAAGGTAACATTGATGGTGTTTCTTTTAAAAATGTTATACACACACACACACACACACACCCACACCCACCTACCTTCGTGGTCCACCTTGTAGATCTAAAATCAGAGATGATGCCTCATTTGTTGACGCACAGTTTGAATTGGTCACCTCTAGTCCTTCATCAGTGATCAGTTTCTTGCCACAGAATGCAGGACGGTTTTTGTTCGGTGGACTATTCTCACTCCAGCAGTGACACTGAGTTGTTTAAAAAAATGTCTGATCCACTCTGTGCAGCACAAACACACGTTAACCTACCGCTATCATGTCAGTGCCGCTACAGTGCTGAGAATGATTCACTATCCACGTAATGTTGGTTCAGTGGTGGTCCTGTGGGGGTCCTAGCCACTGATGAATGGGGCCAAGAAAGACTTAGAAATTATGCAGAGATAATACATTCTGTAACTGTAGATATACAAAGTGATCCTCTATGCTAGGTGCACTTGATAAAGTGGACAATGTGTGTAGATACAAGGTGGGTAATAAAATGGGTAGTGATTGGTTAAGATAGTCTGAAGCCAAGCGATCATTTGTTAGGTATAAGCTTACACTACATGTTAACGTCATGAGCCTAATTTCTCCAGTGCAGAACTTAAACCCTTTAGACACCAAAACCACTTTGGTTAATATTGTGTTAGGTTAGGTTAGGGCAGTGTTTCTCAACCCTGGTCCTGGATAATTCAGTGTTTTACTTAAACCCAACACACTCGCTCCAGCTAAGCAGCTACTGAACAAGCCAATCCTCACAATAAAATGTGAAGGACAGGGGGTTCCTCCAAGACCATGGTTGGGAACCTGTGGGATAGGCGTTGTGTGAAAAGTGCTTTAGATCCTCTCCATGTTCCACCTAAAGTCACATCTTAATTGCTCTGGAGAGCAACCCTGCTGTGGTGTAAATGTAAGGCAGGCTTAATCACGTCAGCACCAAGGACAGCAGCCAAGCAGCATCAGTACAGAGAGCAGGAAGGTGGAGGCGGTTTACATAAAGACCTTCAGCACATCGGCTGAAATTCAGGCACATATGACTGATTCAGGGCTGGGTTTAAAGGGCCCATAACATGTCAAACCAAATATACATAGCTTTTTTAAATGGAAGAGTTCAATGTAGTAGAACTACATTTCAAAACATACGGTGCACGCCACTGTCCATAGTAGGGGTGTAACAGTGCACTGACCTTGTGAAATTGCAATACAAAACTGACAATGCGTCATGGAGAATGGACTGTTAATTACAGCATCTAATGCAGTTGCATTGTCTGAATACCAAAGTGTGCAAACAATCAGCACCAATCAACAACTTTTTAATGTCACTAGTAAATTGTGCAACAACAAAATTAGTTATTAGTAAAAAAAAATAGTTATTTTAAAATGTTTGTGTAAAATACAGTGAGAATAACAGTATCGTGATGCAAATTCTGTCTGTGGCCTGAGCGTATTGTTACACCCCCAGTTACGGTTCAAATATTGAAACAAAACTGCAAAACTGCCCTCTTTTAATTCACTGTAAGTATGATGTCATGAATACCTATATCCACCATGTACCGATATCAGAGCCAGATTAAGAGGAGCCTGGCCACTTCCTATTTCCTTTGTTAAACAAAAATATGACTGCAAAACCCCAGAGGGCACCCATGAGCGAGTCCTAAATAAAAGAGGAAGAATTTAGCCAAACAGTTAAAAACAACAGGAAAAATAGTCTAACCACTTGTCCAGGACTTTCTTTTAATTTTTGAAAGCTGAAATGTGTATTGTACCTGCGTGTTTCTTTTTTTTTCTACAGCAAATAGGTTTGGAGCCACAGGATGCTAACATGACTGCTGCTGAGAGCTGATTGGTTGGCGAGCGGAGCAGCTCATTGACCGCTTTTGAATCAAGCACACAACAGAGCAGCCAATCAGAACCGTAGTCATTTACTTCTACCAGTCACCAAAACAGTGGGGAAAACCAGCATGTTTCAAAAGGATAACAAGAGGTTGGAAATGTAAAAATGACTTTTTTTTGTTTTTGGTTGATATAAAATCACATAAATGTCATCAGTAGAAAAAAATACAAGAAAGAGAAAATGATAAATATGGACCTTTCAAAATAAGCATTCATTTACAGTGATTCATTTGTAAATTGTGAATTTCCTGAGGCGCATAAACAAAGTCACTGCAGACAGTACTGTATTTTTAGAATGATTAAATATGATTAACTTAAAACTTAATAGCTAGATCAAATCTGCAACATTATGCTATGTGAATATTTTGATGACCTAAATCTCTTTTATAGTAAAAATAAACTGAGTCTGTACTGGGCTACACTAATGATATGCCCATGCTCGGTAGGACAAATTGTTAGAACACCCACGCAAATTG